CGCCCTGCTCGGAGCCACATCCCAGGAGAAGCGTCGTCTCCCTGTGCTGAAGGATTCCTCTCCGTCCTTTCCCAGCCTGCAGCTCCGGGGGACATGGGCAGGGATCGTGGAAAGTGGGAGCTTCCCTTGGGACTGAGCTCTGGAGCCTGCAGCCCCCAGCCAAGCCAGACCCCCCCAATGGGGGTCGCTTCAGTTTTCCTCCTGATTTTTGGGATGAATCCCTTGGTTTTGGGCCGGGATTCAACCTGTGTTAGGGAAGGATTCGGGATGCTCTGTGTGGGGGCACGAGGAGAGGCAGGATGAGGGTTTTCCTGGAAGCAGGATGTGCTGGATGTGGGGCCATCCCACATTAAGGATCCCCATTAAGGATAGGGATGCAGTGGCATGCAAGATTGGGATGGAAACACATCAGGATGCAGGATTGGGATGCATTGGAATGGGGATGGGGACGCATTGGGATAAACTGGGGCACAGGATTGGGGTTGGGATGCAGGATGGAGATGCATTGGGATAAATTGGGATACAGGTTTGGGGTTGGGATGCAGGTTAGGGATGCATTGAAGTGCAGGACTGGGATGCATTGGGATAAACTGGGACAGAAGATTGGGGATGGGATGCAGGATGGGGATGCCTTAGGATAAATTGGGACACAGGACTGAGGTTGGGATGCAGGATGGGGTTGCATGGGGAGGTGTAGGATTGGAATGGGAATGCCTCAGGATGCGTAGAGAGGCACTGGGGCACGGGATTGGGATGCACTGGGATGAACTGGGGTGCAGGACTGGGGTTGGGATGTAGGATGGGGTTGCACTGGGATAAACTGGGGTGAAGGATTGGTGTTGGGATGCATCAGGGCTGGCATGGGAACGAACAGGGATGCAGCCTTGGGATGCTCTGGGATACGTTGGGGCACAGGATTGTGATTCCTGGGATTGGGATTCGTTGAGGAGCAGGCTGGGGATGCATCCAGTGCTCTGCAGAGAGGAGAGGGAAGCGAAAACCCCTCCCATTTTTGGGGAGGCCAAATTATTTTTTTTACCCTTCTCCCTTTAAACTCATTTTTCTTCTGCTCTCCCCCAGAAAAGTCGAGCTCTTCCATGTGTCTCATTTTTCAGGAGGAAGAGACAGGAGGGGGTGTCCAGGTGTTATTTTCAGAGACCCCCCCTGGCCCCCACCAAGAGCCTGAACCAGCCCGGGCTTCTCCAATAATCCTCTCAATTACTTATTTTGGGAATGTTGGGAAGAGGGAAAGAAGCATCCAAACCTCCAGGTGAAGCTGGAGGGAAAGAAATCTCGTAATCACGGGAATTCTCCTGGTTTGGGTGCTTTGGAGAAGGAACAGCTTCAAAAAATAGTGATATTATGGTAATTTTTGGCCCACCTGATGTCCAGCAGAGCAGGGAATCTCCGCTCCCTCCAGCTGGGCTTGGGGGGGTGTGTTATGGAGCCCTTTGATGAGGTGATTTGGGATCTGGGTGACCCTTAAATCCAGGAATTCCAGAAGGATTTGGGTTGGAAGGGCCCTTGGAAGGGTCATTTAGGCCAAGCCTTTACCACGGGAAGGAATTTATGGAAGCTGTTGGTGGTGGGGCGGCTTTAAAAAGAGATTAAAAAAAGATACAAAGTATATATGAAAATATGCGAAGTAGGTTTAAAAGATACAAAGTATATATATATATGAAATAACAAAGCATATATAAAAATAGCAAATTATATCTAAAATAGCAATATATATATATATAAAATATACAGAGTATATATGAAGTAACAAAATATAAATAAAATATACAAACTGTGTATAAAATAACAGCATAAAAATAACAAAGCATCTAAAATAACAAAGTATATATGAAAATATGCGAAGTAGGTTTAAAAGATACAAAGTATATATATATATATGAAATAACAAAGCATATATAAAAATAGCAAAGTATATCTAAAATAGCAATATATATATATATATAAAATATACAGAGTATATATGAAGTAACAAAATATAAATAAAATATACAAACTGTGTGTAAAATAACAGCATAAAAATAACAAAGCATCTAAAATAACAAAGTATATATAAAATATACGAACTGTGTG